GGCGGGGGACAGAGGCACAAAGACCCCACCTTCCGATGCCCCAAGGATGCTCCATGGACAGGAACAAAATCCCAGGTAGCTCAGGGCGGTGCGAAAGCAGGACCAGAGGACCCATTTCAAACTCTCCTTAAGGGGATTTGGTTCCTGCTTACAAAGCAAAGCAGCCCTGTGATTTAAAAAGTATATGTATGTATTCTTTTAGTCTTCCTATTCTGCCCTTAGCTTTTAATTACAAGTGGGCCCCAGCCCTTCGAGATGGGGCTGGAGCTGGACTCTGCCCCTGGGAGCAGATCTGTGCACTGAGCGGGCCTCTCTGTCCCTGGAGGACCTCACTTCTCCCCAGTCGTAAACGCCACAGGACCTTAAAACGTGGGACACGGGCTCTTCTGAACGTGTGCTCGTAACAGCGCACACCCTTGGAATCTGCAAGCTAACCTTCAACTAGGAGCATCAATGAGCGTCTCAAACTGAGAGCATGACTGTCTCTCCTGCACAGTCAGGTTCGCATGGAACTGAGTCAGCCGCCCATCTGTAAAGCGAGGGGGCGGTGGGGGGTACCCCCGGGGCCAGACTCCCTCCACGTCTCAGCCGACGCAGGGCTCCAGCAGAAGGGCTGGGCTTGCCGAGGGGACGAGGACAAGCCGAGGGCCTGGGAGGGGCGGCAGCCTGCCCGACTGCACAGCCCCCCACCAGCTACTCAGGTGAGAGCCGAGTTCTCAGCAAGCTCAGGGCCGGAAAATGAGGGGTCGGGCCACCTCCCGAGAGGCTCCCTCCGTGGCAGCAACACAGTATGAAGATGAAACACCAGAGGTCACTTGACTGCATGGAGTTAAGAACTATCAGGAGCATGTGGCCGGTACCGAGTTCACAGTAAGTGACCCAATTGGAAAACCAATCCTTCAGGATGTTTACGTTGCCTTCAGTTTTACATGGAACCTGTTCTCAAAGGTTCACGGCCCGGCACTTTACGGGCCGGCGTGGGACGGGAAGGGAGGGGAGGGGACACACATCTGAAGGAGTGGTCACTGAAACCAAGCCTGAGGCAACCCGTGACTTCACTGGACGCCAGCCTGCCCGCCCCGCCGGCCGCCCCCCAGGGGCTCTAGAGCCAGGGGCTCCCAGAACCGGGCCCGACCCCCAGCTGGGGGTCCCGGGATGACTAGCCCGGCCCTCCTCCTGTCAAGGGATTTCCTCTCCAGTGAAATCCCTAGGTTGCCTAAGACTTAGTTTGGTCTTAAGGTAAAATAAAACTACAACTACACACTTTTTTGCCCATGATGTCGTGAAAATGCATGTTGACAGCCTGGTCCACTGATTGTTCGTCCTCGAAAGTAATAAATCCAAAACCTAGCCAACGACGAAGAGTGAATCAAGGTAGCAGGGTGTTGTGACACAAAACAGGATGATGAACAGTATTAGGGACGGGCCGAGGGATCGACCGAGGGTTTCAGCGAAGCAAGTGTGCGAGGCTGTGGGGCATGAGCACGTCTCAGCCCAGACGCCGCTTCCTTCACAGAGATGACCTTGGAACCACCGGGGCGCATCTTAGCAGCAGCCCGGACAGCAGGGCAGTGAGGGCCCGGCTGGCGGGCAGCCCCAAGTGTGTCGTGGGTGCGCTTCTGCTTTTCTGAAACCCAGGGTCCTCCCCCTCGGCTGGCAGTCGCTTTGTAGCTAGTGCTGACAGCAGCCGTACATTGTTCTAGCGCCTTAACAGAGGTACGTCTCTACCAGTTAGAGCCTCGCCAAGCTTGCCCAACGCTGTTGGGTAAGCCCGAGGAGTCCTACCAAGGTAACATACGTATGTATACAGGTGTCTATCTATACGTAGCTGCATAAATACACAGAGATACAGGCCACAGTGGGTTCCAGCAGGTCAAACACTGCTGTCGGCAGCAAGAGCAAGAGGCACCATGTCATCAAAAGGACAATTTCAAAGGGAAAAACAATTTAGCGTTTCCCAAACACAAGAGAGTGCAGTATAAACGAAGTTTGCTGGTCTGGTGAGCACGGCTGCCTGGCTAGCGTGGAGTGTCCAGCCCTCAGGCTGCTGCTCTGGCTCCCCAGGGCCCATCTGCGTGGAGCACTACAGGCCCCCCACGGCAGCCAGCTGCCGGAAGACCCCAAACAACAAAGGACAGGCCACGGGAAGGGCCAGGGCCCAGAAGGGGCAAAAGATGGGTGTGGGGGGAGGGGCATGGAGCACCGCGGGAGGTGGACGCAGGGGGCAGGGGCAGCCCCTGGCAGCAGGGGAGGGAGCGCCCAGGAAGGAGCAGCTGCCTCCAGGCCGCTCAAGCTGAGCAAAGGATGCGGGAGTACAGTTGTGTGGACCGTGTGGAAAGACTCCTAGCAAAAGTGTGGTGGGAGGATGGAGAAGGGAAGGCAGCTCAGAACGGTGGGCAGCAGCCTCACAGGGAGGCCTGTCCTCTCCGCACATGCGCGTGCCTGAGTGTGACACACACGCACACAGGACCTGCACACGGCGTGGGGAGGAACTGTGAACAGACCGGAGGAGACGGGCCGCAGTGGTAGGCACACGGGAGGGCATGAGGGAGCAAAGGCAGAGGCTGAGGTGTGTGGGAACTGAGCACTGGGGCGGGGCAGGGAGCTTCAGATGGTCCGAGGGACAGACAGACAGACAGGGAGGGAGGGAGGGAGGCTTCGGAGAAGACTCAGGAAGGAGAGGAAGTAGGGACGAGCTCTCGGGGCGCCCGCTGACCAACTGCTGGCTCTGGCGCGGCTCCCACCCTCCACCCGCCTAGCACTGGGGGCCGCGCGGGGACTCGCCAAGCCCCACGGCGGAGGATGATGGCAGGAGCCACATGGGAACGGGGCCGAGGGGCCAGCCCCAAGCACTCTCCCGCAGCCTCTCCTGCCCAGACCCCGCCCCGGCCGCCTGGCGCCCCCAGGCCCGGGCTGAGGACCACAGGCGGCCCACGGGGTGACTAAGAGCAGCCTCAGGAACCCCACGTCCCGAGGCGTCCCAAGATCGGAGGCAAATGGTGGAACACAACATGGGTGATGAACGGCATGTGAAAAAGTGAACGTTTTCTCCAAGTGCAGGAGTGTCTGAAGCCACAGGGCTCGCGGTCCTTAGAGTGCAAGAGGCGGTGAGTCGTGGGGAAGGAGCCCCGGGGCGGGGCTTCTAGGGACGCGTCTGTCTGTCAAGAGGCGACATCACCGCTGAGGAAGCGGAACAGAAACACACTGAAACTTCGTTTACACCCCACTGGAGCAAAGCCCGCTCCCTCCTCTGACTGCGGGACTGGCCTGTACCTGTGTGATATAATTTAGCACCTGGAGAAGAGAAATCTAAAGAGATATCGTTAATCACAAACAATTCACAGAGAGAAAAGGAAAAACAACTTACTTAACATTACTGTACTTTACTATGAAACACTTAAGTATGTCACTAAGCATGTACGTCTACATTAAAATTAAGACTAAGACTTAACAGCTTAATCGACATGAAGTGAGGATACGTTACTTAATCATGGAGGAAGAGGAGGATGAGGTTCAAATGGCAAACTATTCTCCAGCATGGCGGGCGCATGCTGTGGGCGGCGCCGGCCACGCTTGGATGCCTCGAGGGGCTGGGCAGGGGCCGCAGGGCAGGGCCTGGCGCACCTAGCTCACAAGGCCGGCCCAAAAGCGGTTCAGGAACCAAAAAAGGGAC